CTTTAGTGGTGATTTCTGAGATTTTTATGCATCCAATACCCGAGCAGTGTACACTGTATCCAATGTCCATCTCTCTCTTATTGGTGCAGGTGACTTTCCTTTTCTGAGTCTTCCTTTCTGCATATAAAATGAGGGAACTGGAGACACCTCTTATTTCTAATATTGCTCCTCATGCAGGATCCTCTCCTAAACTCCCAGTAAGATATGAATAAGGAGAGTTAGCCTCAAATACTCTAACACTCCTCACATGCCAAAAGTGAGAGATTGGGCTTGGGGAGAGGAAAGATACTTCACACACTCACATTTTCAATTTCTCCCAAGGAGCCAGGCATGGTGGCTCACTCCTATAATCCCAGCACTTTGGGAAGCCAAGGCAGGAGGATCACGTGAGTTCAGGAATTGAAGACCAGCATGAGTAATATGGTGAGACCTCATCTCTGCTTAAAAAATAAAAAGAAAGCTGGGCACGGTGGCTCACGCCTATAATCCCAGCACTTTGGGAGGCTGAGGCAGGCAGATCATCTGAGGTCGGGAGTTCGAGACCAGCCTGACCAACATAGAGAAACCCCGTTTCTACTAAAAGTACCAAAAAACTTAGTTGGGAGTGGTGACGCACGCCTGTAATCCCAGCTACTCAGGAGGCTGAGGCAGGAGAATTGCTTGAACCTGGGAGGTGGAGGTTGCAGTGAGCTGAGATCACGCCATTTCACTCCAGCCTGGGCAACAAGAGCAAAACTCCGTCTCAAAAAAAAAAAAAAAAAGAAAGAAAGAGAAAGAAAAAGAAAAAAAATTAGCTGGGTGTGGTAGCACATGCCTGTAGTCTCAGCAGCTCTGAAAGCTAAGGTGGGAGAATCAGCCTGGGCAATGGAGTGAGAACTTGTCTCGAAAATAAATAAAACAAAATAAGATTTTTAAAATGAATTGTAGCTACTAAGCAATGAGACTTACTTAAAAATATATAGGAAGGGGGACTTGCCCAATCAGACATAAAAATTTGAGCTGGACGTGGTGGCTCACACCTGTAATCCCAGCACTTTGGGAGGCTGAGGCGGGTGGATCATGAAGTCAAGAGATTGAGACCAGCCTGACCAACATGGTGAAGCCCTGTCTTTACTAAAATTACAAATAATTAGCTGGGCATGGTGGTGAGCACCTGTAGTCTCAGATACTCGGGAGGCTGAGGCAGGAGGATTGATTGAAACCGGGAGGCGGAGGTTGCAGTGAGTCAAGATTGTGCCACTGCACTCCAGCCTGGTGACATAGTGAGACTCCATCTCAAACAAAAAAACAAACAAAAATTTGAAAGCCTCTGTATTAAAACAGTGTGGCACTACTGGTGCATGACTAGGGAAACAGAAAACCCAAAAATGGACTCAACTCCATAAGAAAATGTAGTATATGATAAAGGTGACATCTAAAAAGCAAAGATGGGCTTTTTAATGCTGGGATCACAGGGTAGCCATTTGGAGAAGGTAAAATTAGATCTATAGTTCACATCATACGTAAGAATAAATGCCAAATGGATCAAGAATCTAAATGTAAAATATGAAGCTACATAACTACTAGAAGAAAACATAGTGAAGTCCTTTTTAACCTCAGTATGAAAAAAAGGCTAACTATGACTTAAAATCCAGGGGCAGCCAGGTACGGTGGCTCACGCCTGTAATCCCAGCACTTTGGGAGGCTGAGGCAGGCAGATCACAAGGTCAGAAGTTTGAGACCAGCCTAACCAATATGGTGAAACCCCGTCTCTACTAAAAATACAAAAATTAGCCGGGCATGGTGGCCCTCGCCTGTAATCCCAGCTACTCAGGAGGCTGAGGCAGGAGAATCGCTTGAACCTGGGAGGTGGAGGTTGCAGTGAGACGAGATTGCGCCACTACACTCCAGCCTGGGCAACAGAGTGAGATTCCATCTCAAAAAAAAAAAAAAGAAGAAAAGAAAGTAGTGGCCGGGCACGGTGGCTCACGCCTGTAATCCCAACACTTTGGGAGGCTGAGGGGGGTGGGGGGGGGTGGATCACCTGAGGTCAGGAGTTCGAGACCAGCCTGGTCAACATGGTGAAAACCCATCTCTACTAAAAATACAAAAATTAGCTAGGTGTGGTTGTGCATGCCTGTAATCCCAGCTACTTGGGAGGCAGAGGTTGCAGTGAATCGAGATTGAGCCATTGCACTCCAGCCTGGGCAACAAGGGCGAAATTCCATCTCAAAAAAAAAAAATAATAATAATAATAGTATGTTAGTTTGGAAGTCTTTTATTGCCATAGTAAAATAAATAAATAAATTAATTTAATTAAAAATCAAAATATAGTATGCAACATATACCATAAGCAAAGTCAAATACAATTTACAAACTAGGAGAAAATATTTGCACATAAAGCACAAATAAAAGGCTAATATTCCTAATATATAAGGAACTCATAAAACTTGAGGGACAAAGGATAAAAATCCAATAGAAAAATGGAGACAATTCCCAAAAAAGGACATTATATATGTTTAAACATATCAAAAGATTATAACTGAAATCTGGGACAATTCAAGCAACAAAATAAATAATTATAGCAATGGATTACAACTCATAAAATAAAGCAAATATCTCCTATAATTCCAGCACTATGGGAGACTGAGGTGGGTGGATCACTCGAGGCCAGGAGTTAGAGACTAGCCTGGCCAACATCAAAACCCCATCTGTACAAAAAAAAATACAAAAATTAGCCTAGCACAGTGGCATGCACCTGTGTTCTCAGCTACCGGGGAGGTTAAGGCAGAAGAATCTCGAGAGGCAGAGGTTGCAGTGAACCAAGATTGTGCCACTGTACTCCAGCCTGGGCACAGGAGTGAAACTGTCTCAGAAAAAAGACAAAGAAAAAAGAAACTACTCTTCTAGGCCCGGCCTGGTTGCTCAACACTTTGGGAGGCCTAGGCGGCAGGATCACTTGAGCCCAGGAGTTTGAGAGCAGCCTGGGCAACAGGGGGAAACCTGGTCTCTACAATAATTTAAAAATTAGCTGGGCATGGTGTTGGAGGCCTGTAGTCCCAGCTACTTGAGAGGGTGTGGTTGGAGGATCGTTGGAGCCATGATTGTGCCACTGCACTCCAGCCCAGGTGACAGAGTCAGATTATGTCTCCAAAAAATAAATAAGAGGAATAAAGGGTCGGGGGAAGACTCTTAGTCCATAATAGTCTACCTTTCTCCCATCTTTGATTGTGAATTTAATCTGTTGGGGAATGTGGTTATTTGTCCTGTACTTCATCTTGGTGTTTTTATTTTTCCCTTTCTTGTATTTCCTATAAACTGTTGGCTAGATCTAAGGCTTAATTAGATTTGAGTTCAGTTTGAGGGATTAGGAATACTTCACAGGAGGCACTGGGTATTTTCTATTGCATCACATCATGAGGTATCTTATATCTGGTTATCTCACTTTTAATGGTACTAAGATTGATCAGTGGTTCAAATGGTATCAACCTGGCCAGGCATGGCAGCTCACGTCTGTAATCCTAGCACTTTGGGGGGCCAAGGCGGGCAGATCATCTGAAGTCACAAGTTCCAGCCCACCCTGGCCAACATGGTGAAACCCCGTCTCTACGAAAAATACAAAAATTAGCCGGGCATGGTGGCACGCACTGTAATCCCAGCTACTTGGAAATCTGAGCCAGAAGAATCACTTGAACCCAGAGGTGGAGGTTGCAGTGAGCCGAGATCACGCCACTGCACTGCAGCCTGGGTGACAAAGTGAGTCTCCGTCTCAACAATAATAATAATTATTATTATTATTTATTTTGTAGAGATGGGGCTCACCATGTTGACCAGGCTGGTTTCGAACTTCTGGCCTCAAGCGATCTTCCATCTAGGGTCTCCAAAGTACTGGGATTACAGGCATCAGTCACCACCCAGCCAAGTTCAACATCTTTTCTAAGAGCCAGATGTCATATAAGTTTAGCCCTATCAATAACTGACATTCAAACCTTGAAATCTTGCCCCCAGGGGTAGCAATCTTCATAATAATGCTAGATGAACTTTCCTACCATAGAACTATAGTTGAAAGTCCATGTCAATCTTTTTACCATAAAGCACTGTAGGAAAAAAATGTACGATGAAACTAATTTTTTTAAGTTGTATTACACAAGGAAAACTCATCTCAGAGATTACTACCATGATTGGGAACCAAGTTGACAGATTTGGGAGGTCTTCACTATGAAGCTTTATGGAAATATCTAAGTCAAAAAGACTAGTAGGGAGTTAAGCATTATAAAAAAGACTACACGGCTGTCTCTAGGAGGGGGATCTGGAGCAGGGAGGGATGAGGCAAGGAGCAGCGGCTTTGCATCATAACCTCATCTGTGCATGTATTACGTCGACGTTACACCGGGCAAATAGGGAAGAAAAGTAATACAGTCAGCTGACAACGTCCCCCGCAAAAGCCTGTTAATTATATATACACGATTCCAGCCGGGCGCGGTGGCTCAGACCTGTAATCTCAGCACTTTGGGAGGCCTAGGCGAGCAGATCGCTTGAGTCCGCGAATTCGAGATCAGCCTGGGCAGCATGGCAAAACCCCATGATAGCGCCACTGCACTCCAGCCTGGGCAACAGAGTGAGACTCGGTCCCCCACCCCCAAAAAATTAGCCAGGCGTGGTGGTGCGCGCGGGAGCCTGAGGTGGGTGGATCGCCTGAGTCCGGGAGTTTGAGGCTGTGGTGAGCAGTGAACGCTCCACTGCACTTCAGCTCGGGTGACAGAGGGAGACCCTGACTCAAAAAATAAAAAAAGCTTCCATTGTTTTGTTCCCTTGCATCAGAATCCACTTGGTGGTGACTGAAAAGTCTTCAAAGAGGTTGACACGTCCGAGATGAGTCTGAAGTTTGGAGGACAGCACGGGACCGCGATTCCAAGGCGCCCAGGCTGAGAGCGCAGGCCACCCGCCAACCTCCACCCTGGCGCCCCGCCCAGCCGGCACAAAGCCTCGCGGGAGGTGGGGCCTCGTGACGTCACAGATACGCCCGCCCCCTTTACGTCGTGCTCTGAGGAGGCCAGGAGATTTCTGGCGGCGCCGGCGCCATTTTGCCGGAGCCTGCGACCGAGTGGGAGTGGAGTGGAGCGGCTGTGGTTGCCGACTCTTTCCTCTTCCCCACGGTCCAGTCAGCGGGTTAATTAGGCCATCGGCCCTCGAGCCGAGACTTGTCTCTTATTTAGTTCTGGGGAGCGCCTCGTCGACATGAGTGATGTAGAGGAGAACAACTTCGAGGGCAGAGTGAGTACAAAGCCGCGGGAGCCGTCTAGGCGGCGGCCCAATGCTCGGGGTTTCACGGGAACAAGCGCGGTCGGGCGGGGTTGCGGGTAGTCCCGCGAGGAGCAACCTCTGGAGCCATCGCGATTGCTTCCTCCCATCCCAAGATGGCTTCTGGGTTCCACTCCTTCCCCAAACACCACGGATAACACCCCTCCCCCTTTTTTGGAGGCTGATTGATACCTGGACTTCTGGGTCCTCTTCCCGCCCCGCCCCCGCATTGCTCCCGTCCTTCTCCCCACCCCTGAGGCTTCCTTATGTCTGCTCCGAGGTGTGGGTCCCGGTCGCGGTTGGGCGGGAGGAGGCGGCAGGGAGCTCCCTTCCGTCCGGATAGTGGTAGGTGCTTCCTGCGGTGGCATTTCTGGCGACCCCGAGCATCGTAGAGGGTCTCGGGGTCGAAAGTGCGCGGGGCTGTTTTCCGGGCGGGGAGAAGCTGGCGTGGGACTAGCTGGGGCCTGTGTCTCCTTGGCTCTCTATTGCAGTGAGCGGCCGCGTCTCTGTTGGAACCGGCGGCGTTGCGTCTATAAAGGCGAAAGCCTTGAGGTTGAAGGTGGGACGAGCCTAATGAAGTGGTTAGTCAACGACCGCACCGACCCTTAAGCGTTCTTAAGACGAGAGCTGTGAGGGGAAAACTACGCAAGGAGCCCTTTTCCCTTAATGTCCCTTCGACTTTTGCTTTCACTTCGAAATGAATGTGGAAATGCTTTCACGCCTTATTTTTCTAATTCCTCGATGTTGGGTTTTTTCTCTTCTTTATATCTGAACTTTTTAATGCTCTTCTTCCTATGACCTTTCATCTAAAAACTGACCACTCCTTTACAGCTTTTTACGGTAAAAAACAAAAACAAAAACAAAAACTGTCTTTAATCTTACATAACTGAACGAATTCATTGGCTCAGTATTAAGATAACTAGTCAGTATGTACTGTTCTGTAACTTAAAAGATGACCTGAAAATTAACAGGCCCTCTCCCATTTCTCTTCTCACCCTATTCCCCACCGAAGAGGGCTCAGAAGAAAGTTTTTATTAATGTATTTGGGGTCGGAGAAATATAAACATCACAAAGAGTACGTTATACCCAGCTTAAATGTACTGGAACGTTTTTCAGTGAGTTTCATTTCCAAAGTTTACCCTACATTGGGAATTGTAGAAGTGAGTTCCTGTGAAACTGGAAGGAAAACAAAAGCCTCATGCAACACGTTCCGGGCTGTTGTGTTGATGTTTATTTTAGTCACTAGGGGAAGCACATAAAAACACTTGAGGTGTGTACTGGAGGGCGAATTTTGTCCTTTTTGGGAGTTCATGATATAAAGATCTAGAACCAAAAAGTCAAATCAGAAGGTCGGTTTAGGCTTTAGTTCTCTTTGAGGAAAGAGATTTAAAGCAATAAACTGTGATAGTTACCCAATAGACTATTAAAGAAATTGCCTTTCTTTTGATTGGAATTTTTTGACAAAGTTTGGAGCATGGAAACAAATGAAAATTGAACTTGCTCATTTTTTAGGATGGTATATTGATTGCCCCAACATAACTTTCTAAAATCATGCAATAAGCATATATGATGGTAGTTGTAAAATGCTTCTTGTTTTGAAAATGTTGAGTAATTGTCGATAGAAAATTTGCTGTCCATTCATACATTTCTTCAATTAACTTTCATTATTAAAAAAATTGGGGGGTTGATGTTTGATTTGGTTTGTGGGGAGTGAAGAGAACTACTAGAGGGACCTTGTTTGCTTTTTTTTTTTTTTTTTAAATTTATCATGAAGTCTAGGAAAGGAGTAAGTTGCCGACAATTGTCACTTTTCCCTCCTAAGAAAGTAACATGTTAAGATTCCCACCCACCAGCCTGGGCGACAGAGTGAGACTCCTGTCTCCCCCCCCCCCAAAAAAAAAAGATTCCCACCCACTTTTAAACTAAAATATATGTAGCCATTAAAGATTTATTTAATAGAAATAAAAGGCCTTACGGCCCTTTGTGGTCATAAGAAAGACTTTTTTCACAAGTGGTACCCAAATGTATTTTCGTGGAAATCAGCTAGTGCTTGTAGGCTCACCTGTTGTATCTTTTTATGTTTTGTCTTTTAGTTTTTATAGGTTGAGATAATTGTCTTTATTTGCAATTGGTTAAAGAATTAGAACAATGCCAGAAGCTTGTCTGGAGATGTCCTTTTTAAATCGTTTCTGGCCTGGCACACTGGCTCACGCCTGTAATCTCTACAATTTGGGAGGCGAGGCGGGTGGATTACTTGAGGTTAGGAGTTCGAGACCAGCCTGCCCAGCGTGGTGAAACCCTGTCTCTACTAAAAATACAAAATTAGCTGGGCTTGGTGGCGTGCGCCTGTAATCCCAGCTGCTTGGGAGGCTGAGGCAGGAGAATTACTTGAACCTGGGAGGCGGAATTGCGCCACTGCACTCCAGCCTGGGCAACAGAGTGAGACTCTTATCTCAAAAATAAATAAATAAATAGGTCCATTAAAGAAATTTTAAGTGGAGATGTCCTTTGGAGCTGGGAGTGAAAGTAGCACTTAAGCGGTGGCTTTCGGTGGCTTTCGCATGTCTTGATAAAAGTAATGAGTTGTTTGCCTCAGTACAGCTTCAACCAAAATTGGGATTTTGAGCTCAAAAACTGTTAATGCCCTTCATAGAAATTAAGGGCAATGGAAATCTTTTCTTAACATTTTACACCTCTACCCCTAAAATTTTAAGAATTATACTTTATAAAAATGTGCAATTTTCATACAACAGCCCAGTGTTGATAATAGAGGTTAATGATTCCTTATTGTTAGGGACCTATCTTGTAATTCCAGAGTTATTTATGTTTTCTACAGTTGAAGAGGAAAAATACCGCTTATTCTTGCCTCCTTTTCAGGATTTGTTTTGGCTTTTTGAGTAGCTGTAATATTTTTGAGAGATTACTACAGGCTGGGCGGGGTGGCTCATGCCTATAATCCTAGCTACTTAGGAGGCTGAGGTGGGAGAATTGGTTAAACGCGGGAGGCAGAGAGCCGAGATCGCATCACTGCACTCTAGTCTGGGCGACAGAGCGAGACTGTCTCAAAAAAAAAAAAAAAAAGGGCAAACATTTATCTGTACCAATTTGGAATTAAAAGTTTTGTGTGTAAAGATTTTTTGTTAAAGAATAGAAGAAATGGGGGGAGGGTCCTTTTCTGAAATCTGAGAATGATAGGGATGATAACTACTTATTCAAAACCCAGCTCTGTGACTGGCTTGTTTAAAACAAAACAAGGCCGCGCGCGGTGGCTCACGCCTGTAATCCCAGCACTTTGGGAGGCTGAGGTGGGTGGATCACAAGGTCAAGAGATGGAGACCATCCTGGCCAATATGGTGAAATCCCGTCTCTACTAAAAATACAAAAATTAGCTGGGCGTGGTGGCGCGTGTCTGTAATCCCAGCAACTCGGGAGGTTGAAGTAGAGAATCACTTGAACCCAGGAGGTGGAGGTTGCAGTGAGCCGAGATCGACCACTGCACTCCCCACAGTGCACTCCAGCCTGGTGACAGAGCGAGACTCTGTCTCAAAAAAAAAAAAAAAAAAAAAACCCCAAAACTTTTAAATTGGGCTTAAAATTTGTGTATGAAATTTTAAGATAAATGTGAGAGATGTAAGCATTTTGCTTATTCAGCATCTTTAGCAATTTAATTCCATATATCATCAAATTGACCTTACATAAGGGTAAAGCTTGCTTTCTTATAGTAGGGATAGTGTTAACCTAAGAGAGTCTTGGGTTTAATCTGTTTTCCTAAATTTAAGTACTATCATTTATCTGATTTTAATGCTTTCAGTTCTCCCCCCTTCCATTTAAGCAAAGAATTTGTAAACTTAAAAAAAAATTTAAATCTCGAATTTTTATATTTGAGGTTTTTTCACTGAAGGATGCTGATCTGCTCAATATAAGTAGATGGCAAGATTTTGAAAAGGAGCGGCGCAAGTAATTATACCCACAGTGCATAACTAATTTTACAGTTCTGTCATAGAGGCTTATACTTTGTACTACTCATTAAGTGGAATATAGAACCTTGAGATCTGAAGGAATGTCCAGGGATTCAAATATTTAGGGATGTGTGGTTTGGAAAACACTTTGTGGGCTTAATTTTGTAAATCCACCAAACTCTGACCTATGATGTAGCATAACAAGTGTGAAATATCATCAATAATCAGTATAGTAGTTTCTTAGAACTTGACTGACAGAAAACTTTCTTTGATAGTGTCAGTGGGTGCTCATTCATTAGATAACTGAAAGATGTGTATTCACGTGCTAATGAATTAAAACTGATTGCTATTTGTTCATATGTCCTCACAAATTTAGCAAGACAGGCATGGAGGTGAAAAAAGATAGTAACAACCAGATGAGGGAAAGATTGTATACACTGAAGAAAAGTTGAGAGGAGAATAATAAAGGGAAATATGGTTTCCCTTCCCTCCTTTTAAGTTACTTCTATATATAGTTATATATAATCCTTCCTGTCCCATGACTTTCACCAAAGATGGAGTGACTAGGCCTGACTAATATGTAGAAGAAAAGTTGTGATTTTTCCTTGAAACCAGGACCCTATCATCTGACTTACCAAGATTCATAAATACTGTATAACACCAGAAGATGAGAACATAGAGAATGCTGTAACAGGTTCTTAGTAGTTTGGGTTTAGTTGCTATTTATTGGCTTTTAATACGGTTAAACCACATTAGTCCTTAAAACAAACTTGTTTTTTCTACCTTTGAAATTGCCACTTATACATTAGCTTTTTGAACATTACAGTTGATCATGATATATAAGCTAGGAGACTTATGAACCACATTTAAAATCTGTACAAAATATTGTAAATTTTACAGGTAATTTCACAATTATGGTATGAGTTTAAATTTGATTATATGTGGGTGTCAGTTACTAAATCATTTATGATAAGACTATTCTAAACTTCAGAGAATAAGCAAACGTACAGTATTAGAATATGCTTGAGTCTTTGCAGATAAAGACCACATTGACTTCAGAATGCAGCATATAGGCATGCTGCATTTAAAAGAAGGGAAATTATGTTTAAATTTAATATGAGCAGTTGCCATCTTTTTAAGGGATTTGTTCTAATAGCAGTTACAGTTTAAGGAGAGAATGGAAGTGTTGCTTTAACTTCATGGGGTCTGTATAAGTATTCTACCATACCCAAGAGGAAGGAAGCAGAACTGTTCTTTCTATAGGCTGAGGTTGAGTAAATACAGGTTTTTTACAAGTCTTGAAGAATTTCTTTAGTAAATAGTAAGATGAATATTGTAAGGTATTTGGATAATTTATGTACATTTCCCTTTGTTTGGGGGTACTTGTGATTTTCCTGAATGCAACTAGTGTGTATCTATGGAAATAGAGCTCCAATGTCATAAAGTGGCAGGAAAACACATTTTGAGTAAGTTTGTTTTACAAGCTTCTACTCATAGACTTGGACTTGAGTAAATTTGGCACTATTAAATGGCATAGAATTTGCCTGGCCTTAATGTTAGAGTAAGTTACAGTATAGCATTTAATAGTTTGTTTATTTTAATGGATAGCACATATATGTATAGTATTGGAATTTCTTTTTATAGTATGACACAGGCTATATTAAAAGATTGCAATTATTGTTTGCTGTAGGAATTGTTCATGTACCTCAACAGTATGTACATGTATATAATAACCCTTTTCCTGATTAAAGAATAGTACGTGGTTATTCAGTGTGTAAAATACAACTCTGTTTTAACACAGACAATTCTTGACCAGCTTGTATTGGATACACTGTAATACTTTCTTAGTATTAGTTCCCTCCTTTTAATTTTTGGCCATTTCCTTCAACCAGCAGCAGGGGCATCTTGATAATAGAATAGTTTAATCAAGCAGGCCGGGTGCAGTGGCTCATGCCTGTAATCGCGGCACTTTGTGAGGCCGAGGCAGGTGGATCACTTGAGGTCAGGAGTTCGAGGCCAGCCTGGCCAATGTGGTGAAACCCCATCTCTACTAAAATAAAATACAGAAGTTAGCTGGGTGCGGCGTTGGGTGCCTGTACTCCCAGCTACCCGGGAGGCTGAGGCAGAATTGCTTCAACCTAGGAGGTGGAGGTTGCAATGAGAAGATTGTGCCATTGCACTCCAGCCTGGGTGACAGAAAAACCAAACAAGCAAATAAACATCAAAACAAAAACCTGTTTAAGCAGGTTGTGCTGTTAAAAGAACTTTTCTGCCTGGCTTCTGCTTTATAGCGTGTAAGATAGACTGGAGGCCTATTTAAGATTTCTGTGAGTTGAGTTATTAATCTGCGCATTTCAACTGGGCAGTGTATTTTTAATGGTTATTGGATGCAGGAGCCAGATTACTGAGGAAATGTAGAATTCTTTGACTGGACAGCTTTAAGAACAAGTAGTCTAGTGAAATAGGGCAGATACCACCCATTCCTAGCAATTTTTTTTTTGTTTGCAATTTCAATTCATTTTCCAAATTATGGATAGTTTTATGAATTTCTTTGAGAAAAAGTTGAAATTATTTCATAATGAAGACAAGTCAGAGAGAAAAGGATTAGTCTAGCATTTATCCTCTTTATATAAAGGACTTCTTATAGCCTGATTCCTAATGTAGAGTTCCATGAAAGTGGCATTTATTTGGTAACAGCTTTTGAGAAATGTTACTTTATTTCTAAATAATTATATACTTGGCAGTTTATTCTTCCAGTTAAGTTCACTAACAGTGTTACTGACTGATTTGTTAATATAAGTGTGTAAATTGTTTTTGAAAGTTAAAATGAAGCTGGATGTGGTGGCTCACGCCTGTAATCCCAGCAGTTTGGGAGGCCAAGGCAGGCAGATCAAGGGGTCAGGAGATCGAGACCAGCCTGGCCAACGTAGTGAAACCCTGTCTCTGTTAAAAACACAAAAATTAGCTGGGTGTGGTGGCGCGCACCTGTAATCCGAGCTACCCAGGAGGCTAAGGCAGGAGAATCGCTTGAACCCGGGAGGCGGAGGTTGCAATGAGCCGAGATCTCGTGCCACTGCACTCCAGCCTGGGCTACAGAGTGAGACTCCATCTCAAAAAAAAAAAAAAAAAAAAAAAAATCATGGTGACAACTTCATAGCTAGGAAGAAGAGGACTGTTTTAAACTTAGATGTTTCCATGAAGAAATTTATGCAGACTTGAGATTTCCTCTGAGATAAAGAGAGAGAAGGGCAGACAACAAAGGAGGTTAGGTATTTGTGACACCTTTGATAATAAAAAGCAAAGCTTCTTTTAAAATAAATATAATGTTGACCGGGCATGGTGGCTCACACCTGTAATCCCAGCACTTTGGGAGGCCGAGGCGGGCCGATCACTAGAGGTCAGGAGTTTGAGACCAGCCTGGCCAACATGGGAAAACCCCATCTCTCCTAAAAAATACAAAAATTAACCGGGCAAGGTGGTGCATGCCTGTAATTCCAGCTACTCAGGAGGCTGAGGCAGGAGAATCACTTGAACCCAGAAGGTGGAGGTTGCAGTGAGCTTAGATGGCACCACTACACTCCAGCCTGGGTGACAGAGTGAGACTCTTCCGTCTCAAAATAAATAAGCTAACGTCCCTTAAAAAGACATTCTATCATACCGTAATGCTTTGCTGCTACTCCAAAACTGGGATTTAAAATTTGAATTTTAAGATGTTACTGAATTATTTTGTTTACTTTAATAAAAGGTTTTTATTTCCATCCTAGTAAAACTAAAGGATTGTAGTGTTTTACAGAGGAAAGCCTCCTGTGTATATATAAGAAGGACAGTAGCAACTTTCGTAGATGATAATCCAGCTATTGCTATTCAACAGTAGCATAAATGAATGTTATGTCATAAGGTCTGTTTTGTAGAAAGGGAAGCCAAAAGAGAAGAGGGGAATATGAGATACTCTTACCTGTTTGGTTAATGAACCAGTCTGTGAAACTTAAATTACAAGCAAATTAGCCATGCCTTTTTTTTAAAAATAAGATACTGAATATGCTGTTTTCATAGTTTCAGTGACTGAAAAAGCCCAGATTGCTGTGCCTGCTGCAGACATCTGTTCAGTAGTTTAGAGTATCTGAGATGCAGTGAAAGACTTGTAGGTAGCTAAATGGGAAAGGTTGGTATTGAGCGGAAAGGCAGCTGTGTATTTCAGTTTTGATAAATAAGTTGACATTAAACTTGAAGCACAGGAAACATTTTCAGAAAGCTGTTTGAGTTGTGTGATAGTCTTAAGGCATAAATAAATTGGTATGAAATTACTTCTGTGAAATGGAGATAATTATTTACACTGATAATCAAGGCTTAACTGGACAGAAACCAAGCTGTCTATCCTGTTTTGATCATGAGTGCCTCATATCTGTTTAAAAAAAAAAAAAAAAGCTTATGATCAGTAAGTTATTTTATTTGGAATGCTTTGATTTACATCCAATTTTTTCAGAAACCCATCACTTTTTGGATATAGGATATAGTCACTGAAGGGAGTGCCAGCATACATAAATGCATAAATTATGTAAAAACTGAACAAAACAGGTGGAATCAAAGATAAAGACCATGATATACATTTTGTACCTTCTTGCCACATTGTGGTATTTCATGGATAATAGAGCATTTTAAAGTGATATGGTTGCAAAAATGTATATATCAGGAATTAATAAGCTAATGGGGAAATTTTAAGACTTTGATGCCTATTAGTTTTTTCAGTATGCTTTTTTTGTCTTCAGAACATATTTTAAGTCAGAGTGAACAAAGATAGTGGTCAAAGTTGAAAGAAGGTGTAATTTTACTGATTTTTTTCTTTTTGACTTATTTGAACTTTGATATGTGCTATGGGTGAGTTTAGATAGGTGTGTACAAATATTTCAGCCTGGATGCCTTACTCTAACTATATCTTGATTTCTTAGCATAACTTAGTGAAAGCTTGTTTTAAGAATCTTCAGATTATAAAATAGTGAAAATTTAACAGGTGGGGGGAAATTATAGCTGTTAGATTTATGTTTGAATTATTTATATTAAAATTGCTCACATCTTAGGAACTAGAATGAAACATGGGAGGAGGGTGAAGAGTATGGTTAAAAAAACATTTAGAGAAATTTAGTAACTTCTCTGTTAGAAACTAGAGTTTTGAACAATTTTAAAGACTATAAAATTGTTTTTTTTTTCTTTTTTTTTTTTTTAAATTAGTTACTTGCACTTTACCTGCTGGCTTTTCCATTTGGTAGATAACATTCTGAACTCCAGCAGAGTTTTATAATCCCCACGTGCTTAAATATACTAAATGTTCTTTTTCCATTAAGGTTAATGTTCGTGAAGAAATTGAAGAGTTTTTTCCAAGAATGTGGAAGATAAATCAAGATAAAAGAAGGCTAATGAAAAGTATTAAAGATCAGAAAATTAAAATTGAATGGGGGAAAAAATTGAACAGAAGATTGGTCAGATAGAAGCACTTGAATTTTTTTTAAGGCTATTTTGAATTGTTTGAATTGGGGAAGAATACACGAAGTATGAAAAATGAAAAACTCAATGAAGAATGAAGAGAAGTAGAAAGCAAGAGTGAAGTAGAATTAAAAGAATCTGGAAGAATGAATGGGTCCTAGGTTAAGTAAATGTATGGTTTATGTTCCAGTGTCTGTATGATCAAGTTGTAGATGAATTTGCATGATTACTTAGTTAATAGAGAATTGGTGATCTGGTTCAAGTAGGGAATTATTGAGGACAGTTAGCAGTATTAACAATGGGTTATTATTGAGCTGAAATTTTTTCTGGAGGGTGTTGCCTAACCATTTGTTTTTCAGGAGCAATCAATATAAATAATTACGGTACTTTAAATGTTAGGTGTTAGGCATCTACATGACCAGTGCCATTTGTAATACTGTCTTCTTTGTTAGGAGTCTCGCTCTCAGTCAAAATCTCCAACGGGAACTCCTGCTCGTGTAAAATCGGAGAGCAGGTCAGGATCTCGTAGTCCATCAAGGGTTTCCAAACACTCTGAATCCCATTCTCGATCAAGATCAAAATCCAGGTAAGTCTGTTTAAGATAATACTTAAAATATTCTTCTGGGGTTTTTGAGGACAAAGCGGTTGTTGGCTGCATTTTGTGTAGAAATTTCACAAAAGACTCAAAATGACGAAGTAGTTTTTCTCAGACTGCTCTTTGTAAATGAATACCATATCCCAGACAAAGACTTGGAAGTACGGCTTGAGCCCAGGAATTCCAGGCTGCATTGACTGCACCGCTGTACCACAGGCTGGGTGCCCGGGAGACCCTGTCGCTGAAAAATAAGAAATTAATAATAAAATCATCTCCTGGCCCAGTTAATATATTGGATAGTTGCAACCAATACAAATTATGTGTATATAGCCATCGATTTAAGTGTGTTTGGCATTTGATAATTAGTGTTTGGTTTCTATGCCAACAATATTTGCACAACAAAAAGGTGGTTTTCTGCATTGGAGTCTCACATGTAATTTAGTGCAGAGAAAGTTGATATGTGTATGTTATGCTGGTTGGTCAGAACGATTGAGAAGCATTTTTAGGATTTACATTCCAGCTACATTTTTATCTGAAGATTCTGACTCTATGTCCACGGTAGAGCTCTGGTCAGATGTAATTGGGCAGAAAAGTCCTCAGCTGATTCGGGGTCCCACCACCATGGACAACAGAAACGCTATAGTGAACCGATGCAGAACCAATGCAAAGTCACTGTCAAATGCCCCAGGTGTACTGAGGTGGGCTAAAAAGTTTTAAGACAGGCTGGGCGCAGTGGTGCACCTTTGTAATACCAGCACTTTGGGAGGCCGAGGTGAGTGGATCACTTGAGGTCAGGAGTTTGAGACCAGCCTGGGCAACATGGTGAAACCTTGCCTCTACTGAAAATACAAAAATTAGTTGGGCGTAGTGGCGAGCTACCTGGGAGGCTTAGGCAGGAGAATCGCTTGAACCCAGGATGTGGAGGTTGCAGTGAACCGAGAGATGGCGCCACTGCCCTCCACCCTGGGGTGACTCCTTTTTTTTTTTTTTTTTTTTTTTTTTTGAGATGGAATTTTGCTCTTGTTTCCCAGGCTGGAGTGCAATGGCGTGATCTCAGCTCACCACAACCTCCACCTCCCAGGTTCAAGCAGTTCTCCTGCTTCAGCCTCCCTAGTAGCTGGGATTACAGGCACGTGCTGCTACACCCGGCTAATTTTGTATTTTTAGTAGAGATGGTTGGGGGGGTGCTCTCCATGTTGGTCAGGCTGGTCTCAAACTTCTGACCTCAGGTGATCCGCCTGCCTCGGCCTCCCAAAGTGCTGGGATTATAGGCTTGAGCCACTGCGCCCGGCCGAGACTCTTTCTTCAAAAGAAAAAAAAAGATTTTAAAACAGCCTGACCAGTTAGCTACTTCATTGTCATTTCTTGGGTGGAGGGTTAGATTTTACGTCTTTGAACAGTCTACTGGCAAAGGGGCATGAGACAGAAAAATCAGTTAAAAGGCTGTACTTTTCTTGGGGTTAGCAGCCATGCTGTTTTCTGTTACAGCAAGGGCCTAGCCCAGTGCTCGATTACTTACTACTCAGTTATTAAATTTATTATGTGCAGAATAGCACGGGCTAGAATTTGAGTATAGATATAGAAATAAGCATGTTTTTGCCTTAGGGCCTTTGCATTTGCCACCTTCAACCCAGAACATTTTTCTCCTCATTTCATTTGATTGTCACCTGAGAACATTGAGTTACTCACATATCCTTTATTCCCTTACTCTTAATTTTTTTATGTTATTTGTCACTGTCTAATTAAAAAAAAAAGTAGATACTCTTGAAGGGTTTTGTTTGTTTGTTTTTTGAGATAGAGTCCCGCTGTGTTGCCCAGCCTGCAGTGTAGTGGCACGATCTCAGCTCACTGCAGCCTCCACTTCCTGGGTTCAAGCAGTTCTCCTGCCTCAGCCTCCTGAGTAGCTGGGATCACAGGTGCCTGGCTGATTTTTTGTATTTTTAGTAGAGACGGGGTTTCACCATGTTGGCCAGGCTGGTCTCGTACTCTGGACCTCAGGTGATCCGCCCACCTCGGCCTCCCAAAGTGTTGGGATTACAGGCGTGAGCCACTGCGCCTGGCTGGAAGAGTTTTATTGTCTCACTTTCATTGCTGTTTAAAAGTAATAATTGATGTTTTAAATTAAGGGTTTTCTTACTTTTTTTTTTCTTCATTTTAAAATTTGGAACTGTAAATTGGTGCTAGCTAAAATGGGAAATATCAACTCTCCTAGTGTTATTATTCACCTATTGTGTTTCATAAGGTCTTCCCTCTAGTTTTATTCCTGTATTCCATATCCTCACTCTGTAAAATCATGCAAAAAGTTTTTGCTTGATTACTTAACAGAAAATTTGGTGATCTGGTTCAAGTAGGGAATTACTGAGGACAGTTAGCCGTATTAACAATGGGTTATTATTGAGCTGAAAAAAAGTAGAGACTCTTGAAGAGTTTTGTTTTGTTTTGTTTTGTTTTGTTTGAGATGGAGTCTTGCTCTGTTGCCCAGGCTGGAGTGCAGTGGTGTGATCTCAGCTCACTGCAACCTCCACCTCCTGGGTTCATTGAGTACCATATAGAAGGTATTTTATATGACTGTCATCACTGCTGGTCTGTGTCAGTTAAGGGTGGGTCATATGAATGGTAGGTAAGAATTTGTTGAATTAGTTTTTTTTTTTTTTTTAAGACGGAGTCTCACTCTGTTGCCAGGCTGGAGTACAGTGGCGTGATCTCAGCTCACTGCAACATCTGCCTCCCAGGTTCAAGTGATTCTCTTGCCTCAGCCTCCCGAGTAGCTGGGATTACAGGCATGCGCCACCACACCCAGCTAATTTTTTGTATTTTTAATAGGGACAGGGTTTTATCATGTTGGCCAGGATGGTCTTGATCTCCTTACCTTGGGATCTGCCTGCCTTGGCCTCCCAAAGTGCTGGGATTATAGGCATGAGCCACTGTGCCCGGCCTGTTGGATTAGTCTTACAGGCAAAGAAAGGACTGCAAGCAACTGGGAATTAGAGGAGATGAACTAGAAAAGCAGCAGTAGACAAGTGAGATGTTATAGAAAGTATCAATAAGTAAAGGCTTAGGCTGAGTGTGGTGGCTCATGCCTATAACCCCAGCACTTTGGGAGCACAAGGAGGGGTGGATCACTTGAGGTCAGGAGTTTGAGAGCAGCCTGGCCAACATGTTGAGACTCTGTCTCTACTAAAAATACAAAATATTTGCCAGGTGTAGTGGCACAGGCCTGTAGTTCCTCAGGAGGCTGAGGCAGGAGAATCACTTGAACCCAGGAAGTAGAGGTTGCAGTGAGCCAAGATCAGGCCATTGCACACTCCAGTCTGGGTGACAGAACGAGATTCTGTCTCAAGGAAAAAAAAAAAACATAAAGACTCAGAAATGTTAGCAGTTTTGGGCCGGACACAGTGGTTCACACCTGTAGTCCCGGCACTTTGGGAGGCTGAGGTGGGTGGATCACAAGGTCAGGAGTTCGAGACCAACCTGGCCAACATGGTGAAACCCCATCTCTACTAAAAATACAAAAATTAGCCGGGCACCCTGGCAAGTGCCTGTAATCCAGCTACTCGGGAGGCTGAGGCAGGAGAATCACTTGAACCTGGGGGGTGAATGTTGCACTGAGCCGAGACGTGCCATTGCAATCCAGCCTGGGTAAAGAAGTGAGACTGTCTCAAAAAAAAAAGAAAAGAAAAGAAAAGTTATCAGTTTTGATGGGCATTTAGGTGGTGGTTGAATTAGTTTAGCAGATGCTGAATTGCAGCAGGCTAAAGAAGGATCGGAAATGGAAATGATGCTTAGCAATGAGGGGAATGTAGAACTTTATGGGCCAGGCACACTGGCTTAACTGGGGAGGCCAAGGTGGGCAAATTGCTTGAACCCAGGACTTCAAGACCAGCCTGGGCAACATGGCAAAACCCGGAAAAATATAAAAATTAGCCAGGCATGGTGGTGCAGCTCTTTGGGAAGCTGAGGTGGGAGAATTTCTTGAGCCCGGGAAAGAGAGGCTGCAGTGAGCTGAGATCACACCACTACACTCCAGCCTGGGCGACAAAGAACTATATGGAGAAAGTAGCGGAAAATCAAAAAGGATTTTGTTTGTTTGTTTGTTTTTTGAGATGGAGTTTCGCTCTTGTTGCCCAGGCTGGAGTGCAGTAGCACGATCTTGGCTCACTGCAGCCTCCACCTCCCGGGTTCAAGCGATTCTCCAGCCTCAGCCTCCTGAGTAGCTGGGATGACAGGCGTGGGCCACCACGCCCAGCTAATTTTTGTGTTTTTAGTAGAGACGGAGTTTCACCATGTTGGCCAGGATGGTCTTGATCTCTTGACTTTATGATCTGCCTTCCTCGGCTTCCCAAAGTGCTGGGATTACAGGCGTGAGCCTCTGCGCCCAGCCTGTTTTTTTGTTTGTTTGTTTTTGTTTTTAAATAGAGGTGTGGAGTCTTGATGTGTTGCCTGGGCTAGACTTGTCCTCCTGGGCCCAAGTGATTTTTCTTGCTTCATCTTTCATGTAGCTGGGAACATAAGCACACGCCACTGCACTTAACTAAGAATCCAATGATTTTATTTATTTATTTATTTTGAGACGGAGTCTCGCTCTGTCGCCATGCTGGAGTGCGGTGGCATGATCTTGGCTCACTCTAACCTCCGCCTCCTGGGTTCAAGTGATTCTTCTGCCTCAGCCTCCCAAGTAGCTGGAATTACAGGTGCCCACCCCCACGCCTGGCTAATTTTTGTATTTTTATAGAGACGAGGTTTCAACATGTTGGCCAGGATGGTCTTGATCTCTTGACCTTGTGATCTACCCGCCTCGGCCTCCCAGAGTGCTGGGATTACAGGCATGAGCCACTGCACCCAGCCAGGATTTTATTTTACAGCAATAGTTGGGTTTTTGTTTTTTGGTTTTTGTTGTTGTTTTTGTTTTTTTGAGTCTCGCTCTGTTGCCTGGGCTGGAGTGCAGTGGCCGGATCTCAGCTCACTGCAAGCTCCGCCTCCCAGGTTTATGCCAGTCTCCTGTCTCAGCCTCCCGAGTAACTGGGACTACAGGCGCCCGCCACCTCGTCTGGCTAGTTTTTTTGTATTTTTTAGTAGAGACAGGGTTTCACCGTGTTAGCCAGGATGGTCTCGATCTCCTGACCTCGTGATCCGCCCATCTCGGCCTCCCAAAGTGCTGGGATTACAGGCTTGAGCCACCGCACCCGGCCCCTTTTGTTTTTTTTTTTTTAAAGAAGATGGGGCCTTAACGTTTTTGTAAGGTTAGGTGAAAAGGGTGAATGCAGAGGGGCTTGACTGAGAACAAAGTGGAAGATGTGGTGACTTAAGTGAACCGGAGGAAGAATACCCTTTCCTCCGAAACAAGGAGGAAGGACCTCAGAATAGTTAGGAATACATGTATACTTCCTTGGAAGAGGGAAGGATGTTAGCCATTTTGTTTCAGTATTTTTACCTAAATGTATTTCTCTCAAAGGTCGAGGTCAAGGAGGCATTCTCATAGACGTTACACTCGATCCAGATCCCACTCTCACTCTCATAGGAGACGATCTCGAAGTCGATCATACACACCAGAATACCGGCGGCGAAGGAGCCGAAGCCATTCTCCAATGTCTAACCGGAGAAGACATACTGGCAGCAGGGTATGTGGTTTATAAAAGTTAATGACTTATTTTCTCTTTCCTGTGTTTAGTCATAGCATGTCTTGCTTTTAGGAGAGCTTGGCCATTGTTTAGGAGTGATACTCTGGAAACATCCTTAATAAGCTGCTTTAGCTTTCAAAATAAAGGAAATACCACCATCTTTCATAAGCTTACATGTTTTATGACGAAGAATGCAAAGGGAGTATATTTTCTTTTTTTGAGACAGAGTCTTACTATGTCTCCCCAGCTGGAGTGCAAGGGTGCAATTTCGACTCACTGCGGCCTTAGCCTCGCGAATAGCTGGGATTGCAGGTGTGCGCCACCACACCCAGCTAATTTTTATATTTTTAGAGATGGGGTTTCACCATGTTGGCCAGTCTGGGTCTCGAACTCCTGACTTCAGGTGATCCACCTGCCTTGGCCTCCCAAAGTGCTGGGGTTACAGGCATGAGCTACCGTGCCTGGCTGGGAGTATATTTTTCTTTTCATGACTTTTGAGTAAAAAGGAGATGAAGGCTGGGCGCAGTGACTCACACCTGTAATCCCTGCACTTTGGGAGGCCAAAGCGGGTGACCTCACTCCTGAGGTCAGGAGTTCGAGACCAGCCTGGCCAACATGGTGAAACCCCATCTCTGCTAAAAATACAAGATTTAGCCAGGCGTGGTGGCTTACGCCTGTAATCCCAACTACTTGAGAGGCTGAGGCTGGAGAATCCCTTGAACCCGGGAAGTGGAGGTTGCAGCAAGCCGAGATTGTGCCGCTGCATTCCAGACTGGCCTTGGCGACAGAGTGAGACTCTGTCTCAAAAAATAAAGGAGATGATATTTGAGAAGAAATGTGTTCCAAGAATTCAAGTGAAAAGCATAAACTGAGTTGGAAATAATTGGGATATGTTCAGAGTTTTATGATGGGGTAAGGGGGTCGAAGAAATACTAAAAACTTTTTAGTAATCATAGCTAACACTTTTATTCAGTACACTTCAAGCTCTTAATATTTCTGTGAGGCAAGTTATTGAGTCTTGGATATATGACATTGAAGGACTTTTGGTTTTGGTTTAGTTTTTGCTAACTGGCGGTCTAGATTTCAATCAGGCAGCTGAACTCTGAAGTTTTTAGAGCATGTTTGCATGCCGTGCTATACTGCTCCCACAGGATACTAACTTAAACTGGTGGAGCATGTCATTATTTAATGTTTTGAAATCTGTAAATTTATTTCTAAAATCTGAATTGTGGGAACACTGAAAGAATATCCTTGCTAAAAAGTGAAAATGGGCCAGGCATATTGGCTTATGCCTGTAATCCCAACTACTTGGGAGGCTGAGATGGGAGGATTCCCTGAGCCCAAGGAGGCCAAGGCTGCAGTGAGCTGTAATCGGGCCACTAAACTCCAGCCTAGGCAACAGAGTGAGACCCTGTCTCAGGGAAAAAAATAAGAAAATGGAGGAGAAGGAGTCTAAATCAACAATTACAGATGAAGTCAGATTAAGTACAAATCTGTAAGGGATGTAAAGCATTTGAATAAACAAGAAAGATGGCATTGAACTTTTTTTTTGAGATGGAGTTTCGCTCTTGTAAAAAGTAAAGATTCCTCTTCAAAGAGATTTTCCTCCCCATCTAATTAGAAGTAAATAATAACTTCTCTTAGAAGCAAAATTTGTTCAAAGACCTGTGCTAACATTCTTAAATATCTGCTAGGCCAGGTGCGGTGACTCACGCCCATAATCCCAGCACTTTGGGAGGTCAAGGTGGGTGGATCACCTGAGGTTGGGAGTTCGAGACCAGGCTAACCAGCATGGAGAAACCCCATCTCTACCAAAAAATACAAAATTAGCTGGGGGTGGTAGTGCATGCCTGTAATGGGTAGTGTATACTGTGAATGGGTGTAGCTGCTTGGGAGGCTGAGGTGGAGGTTGCGGTGAGCCAAGATCACACCATTGCACTCCAGCCTGGGCAACAAGAGTGAAACTCCGTCTCAAAAAAAAAAAAGTACTAGCCGTAATAAAAAAAAATCAATGTACTTTATGTTCTTAGCTCCCACAATTTAGCCTAAATATTTGCCCTAACATGCTTGTACAGGTCCAAATAAGCATTAGGTCATAGCCTGTTCCTCTTCTTTATTTAAAGGTGTTTTTACCTTTCTCAACATTCCACAAGTTACTTCCTCCTTCCTTTGTTCTCCTGCCTTTGCCTCTTTTAAAAAGTTCTAAGTTACTAGCCAATCAAGACAAATACAGAATGTGAAGTCCCGTTCCAACCAATAAAAAACGGACACAACAGTAAGGTAGACATATCAGATTATAAATGACCCTGTTTCCTTTGTTCAGTGTACTCTTGTGACAAAACTGCTGAGAAGTGTACCCTTTCTCCAGAAAATAAAAATGGCCTTACTAAAAAAATGTATGTTCAAGTGGTACTTCTTTACAACACCGAGAAACAAACATTTCTAACACTCTTGTCACCTAGGCTGGAGTGCGACGGCGCAATCTTGACTCACTGCAACCTCCACCTCCAGGATTCAAGCGATTCTCCTGCCTCAGCCTCTGGAGTAGCTGGGATTACAGGCACCTGCCAACATGCCCGGCTAATTTTTGTATTTTTAGTAGAGATGGGGTTTCACCGTGTTGGCCAGGCTGGTGTCAAACTCCTAACCTCAGGTGATCCACTCGCCTCAGCCTCCCGAAGTGCTGGGATTACAGGATTTTTAGGATACATTATGAACGTGGCTGGGCTGGAGAGTAAGAACATTTTAATTCAGGCAATAGACAGAAAGCATATCCCAAAGAAGTCCCTGGGTGTATTGTGAATTGTAAAATATGGCTCATCTGCTCTAGTTTTCTTAAAATCTTACCTCTAAATTACTAGAAACAATATATTTTTTGTGTATTAGATGAGGTGTTCTAAACAAAGTATTTGTTTCTTTAATTTTGATTTTAATTTGGAGTTTTAAATAATATTTTTATTCAATAGGCAAATCCAGATCCCAACACTTGCCTTGGAGTGTTTGGCCTCAGTTTGTACACAACAGAGAGAGATCTTCGTGAAGTATTTTCTCGATATGGACCATTGAGTGGTGTCAATGTGGTTTATGATCAGCGAACTGGACGATCTCGAGGATTTGCATTTGTGTATTTTGAGAGAATAGATGACTCAAAGGAGGTAAATTTGTCTTTTATATGCCTGATTATAGTACTGAATTAGTGTGAAAAGTTGATTAACAGACTTTTGTTTCTGTAAACATTGCATTCCTTTTTCTTTCTTTCTTATTTATTTATTTTTTAAGATAGTATCTTGCGGCTGGGTGCAGTGACTCAGGACTGTAATCCCACCACTTTGGGAGGCCAAGGCGGGCGGATCATGAGGTCAGGAGGTCGAGACCATCCTGGCCAACACGGTGAAACCCCGACTCTCCTAAAAATACAAAAAATTAGCCGGGCGTGGTGGCGGGCACCTGTAGTCCCAGCTACTCGGGAGGCTGAGGCAGGAGAATGGCGCAAACCCAGGAGGCAGAGCTTGCAGTGAGCCGAGATTGCACCACTGCTCTCCAGCCTGGGCGACAGAGTGAGACTCTCTCAAAAAAAAAGAGAGAGAAAGAAAGCCTGATTATTAATAGAACTTCTAGATATATACAAATATATATATTTTTGAATTTAGAAGACAGAAGGTCTAATAAAACTAAAAGTATAAGCTTCAAATTCCTTAAAATGCAATTTTATAAATCAATTACTATCAACTTTTAGTAAAGAGTAAGCGAGCCTAGGCCAGGTATAGCAGCTCACATCAGTAATCCTAGCACCTTGGGAGGCCAAGGCAGGAGGAACAGTTGAGGCCAGGAGGAGTTCCGAGACCAGCCTAAGCGACACAGCAAGACTGCCTGCAAAAACTTAAAGCAAGCCTAACACTTCCTTTTTAACACCTAATATGTTAGAATAGCACTATTTCAAATCATTGACATTGATTAGCGACAGAGCGAGACTCCGTCTCAAAAAAATAAAACATAGGATCTTGCTGATTTTGCTTTGTTGCCCAGGCTGGAGTGCAGCCTTGACCTCCTGGGCTCAAGCAGTCCTCCCACCTCAGCCTTCTGAGTAGCAGGGACTACAAGCGTGGGCCACCATGCCCAGATAATTTCTTGTTGTAGAGATGAGGTCTCACTATGTTACCCAGGCTGATCTTGAACTCCTGGCCTCAAGTGATCCTCCCAGAATGCTGGTTTTACAGGCATGAGCCATCATATGTGGTCTGTTATGTCCTTTCTAATTTTGACCTGATTCAAACTCTGCCTCTCAGTGTTAACAATTGGAGTGACCACAGTTTCACTTTTTTCAGTTATGCTCTCTGGTATAGGCATATCCTAATTGAAATCTGGGTGTGTAAAGTTAATGGAAAAAGTTAAAAGTTAATGGAAAAAGTATTTATGTGTAAGCGTTCTCTTTTGAATAAGCCATAATGATGCTCCAAATAGGTGATTACGTTAACTTTAAAAATAATTCTGGGATGTTTAGGTTTGATATGTTTAATTTTGTGTCTATAATGAAGAAGGAACTTTGTTTTTCTGTTCTCTAAATGTTCATGTATCAGTCTGTTCAATAATTGAAAAATACTACAAGGAAAGAATTGATAATTTTTTAATGCTGTTCTTGTCTAACAATGAACTAATCAATGTCAATAATTTGAAATAGTGCTATTCTAACATATTAGGTATTATAAACGAAGTATTAGGCTTGCTTTAAGTTTTTGCAGGGAGTCTTGCTGTGTCGCTTAGGCTGGTCTCGGAACTCCTCCTGGCCTCAACTGTTCCTCCTGCCTTGGCCTCCCAAGGTGCTAGGATTACTGATGTGAGCTGCTATACCTGGCCTAGGCTCGCTTACTCTTTACTAAAAGTTGATAGTAATTGATTTATAAAATTGCATTTTAAGGAATTTGAAGCTCAATACTTTTAGTTTTATTAGACCTTCTGTCTTCTAAATTAAAAAATATATATATATTTGTATATATCTAGAAGTTCTATTAATAATCAGGCTTTTTTTTTTTTTTTTTTTTTTTTTTTTTTTTTGAGACAGTCTCGCTCTGTCGCCCAGGCTGGAGTGCAGTGGCACAATCTTGGCTAGTACTTCAGTTTTTAATCATTTATGTCACAGGCAGTTTAATGCCTTAATTTGTCAGTATTATGACTTTTTTTTTTTTACTGTTACATATTTGTGATTTATATATATTTCTTTTCTCAAGAGATAAAGGTATCAATTTAGAAATACTAGGATATCTGAGCTGAAGTAAAAGTTGCGAAGTGCAAGCCAGAACACAGTTTTTTTCTTCTTACTATTTTTTAATATGAAACATGTTTATCTCTTGATTCCACCTCTCCCCCTTCCACTTCTGGATAAAGCTAAAATGGCAGGCCGGGCGTAGTGGCTCGCACCTTGTAATCCCAGCATTTGAGGAGGCTGAGGTGGGTGGATCACCTGAGGTCAGGAGTTCAAGACCAGCCTGGCCAACGCAGTGAAACCCCGTCTGTACTAAAGTACACAAATTAGCCAGGCATGGTGGCATGTGCCTGTAATCCCAGCTACTCGGGAGGCTGAGGCAGGAGAATTGCTTGAACCTGGGAGGCAGAGGTTGCAGTGAGACAAATTCGTGCCACTTCACTCCAGTCTGGGCAACAGAGCAAGACTCCACTCCATCTCAAAAAGAAGAAAAAAAAAAAAGCTTAAATGGCAACTTTAAAGACAGGAGCAGTTACTTAGTGGCAGGTTTAGAAGTTCCTTTTAGTTCACTAGGTGACAATGTGTTACTTAAGGATTGGGTTGACTAGGCTTGTCAGCTAAATCGCAGTTTCTCTTTTCAGTTGCCTAGGCTGAATCCTCAGCTAACACAGGCATGTTGTATGGTTTCTTCTCTATGGCTGAGACTGCCTCCAGTCTTTAGGGACAGGCAATCTGAAGTGATTTGATTTTTTTCTTGTTTCTGTTTTTTGTTTTTTTTGTTTTTGTGATGAGGTCTTGCTCTTTGCCCTGTCGCCTAGGCTGGAGTGTGATGGCACGATCTCAGCTCACTGCAACTTTCGCCTCCCAGGCTCAAGTGATCCTCCCACCTCAGCCTCCAGAGTAGCTGGGACAACCCCAGTGCACACCACCATGCCCAGCTAATTTTTGTATTTTTTGGTAGAGACAGGGTTTTGCCCCATTGCCCAGGCTAGCCTCAAACTCTGGACCTCAAGTGATCTGCCCTCCTTGACCTCCCCAAAGTACCAGGATTACAGGCATGAGCCACTTCAGTTGGCTAAAGTGATTTTTTTTTTTTTTTTTTTTTTTTTTGAGACAGAGTCTTGCTCTGTTGCCAGGCTGGAGGGCAGTGGCACAATCTCGGCTACTGCTGTCTCAGCCTCCTGAGTAGCTGGGACTGCAGGCGCACGCCACCACACCCAGCTAATTTTTGTATTTTTAGTAGAGATGGGGTTTCACCATGTTGGCCAGGATCGTCTCGATCCTGACACCTCATGATCCGTCCATCTTGGCCTCCCAAAGTGTTGGGATGACAGGTGTGAGCTATGACGCCCAGCCTAAAGTGATTTTTAAAATCATTTTAAAATTTGTGTCCTTTATTAACTAACTTCTCCCTGATTCTGAAAATTTCACTGAAGTGTCAAAGTTGTTAGAGTGCATGTGGTGAAGATAATAATATAAGCTCCTCACCCTGTTTTAGTAAGAAGTACTTAGAGGTTTTGTGTGTGTTTTTGGGGGCAGTGCTTAGGATGGGATGAGGGGAGATCAACTTTGATTTTTGGAACTTCAAATGGAAAATGTGTTAAATTTTTGCAGCTTTGCTTTTACAGACATTTATGTGATGTAAAGTTCTTTTTAAAAATTGAACCGGGTGTGGTGGCTCATGCTTCTAATCCCAGCACTTTGGCAGGAGGATTCCTTGAGCCCGGGAGTTTGAGACCAGCCTGGGGAAACGTAGGGAGACTTGGTCTCTACAAATATATATGTGTGTGTGAGAGAATAGGAAAAAAATTGTTCCAGAAACAAATAATACTCTAAAGAGTTGTTTTCAAAGAGACATCTCTTGATCTTCAAGAATTAGGCTGTGCAAGGTGGCTCATGCAATTTGGGAGGCTGAGGTGGGAAGGCCACTTGAGGCCATGAGTTAAGGGACCAGCCTGGGCAACATATCCAGATCTTGTCTCTACAAAAATAAATGCTTGCAGGCCGGGTGTGGTGGCTTATGCCTGTAATCCCAGCACTTTGGAAGGCCGAGGCGGGCGGATCACGAGGTCAAGAGATCGAGACCATCCTGGCCAACATGGTGAAACCCCATCTCTACTAAAAATACAAAAAATTAGCTGGGCATGGTGGCGCATTCCTGTAATCCCAGCTACTTGGGAGGCTGAGGCAGAAGAATCACTTCAACCCAGGAGGCAGAGGCTGCAGTGAGCTGAGGTCACGCCATTGCACTCCAGCCTGTGCAGCAAGAGCGAAACTTGTTCTCATAAATAAATAATAAAATGCAGTCCATTGAATGGAATACTGTTTAGACCCCTTCTCTACCAATAATTTTTGTTTTAATTAGCCAAGCATGGTGGCACAAACCTTGTGGTTCTAGCTACTTAGGAGACTAAGGCTGGAGGATTGCATAAGCCGAGAAGTTTGAGGTCACAGTAAACTATGATCTTGTCACTGCCAGCTTGGGCAACGGAGTGAGACCTTGTCTTTTGTTTTGTTTTGTTTTTTAATGACCTTTAGTTTATAGGGCACTCTTACAGAGAAATATTTGTGGATACATAAAAATTGTGTAGCTTTTATTAGTTTATTATACTTTTATTAGTTCAGTCTCAGTAAAAGGCTGAAAGGCATTACCATAAATTTGTTCTTGTCTATTTATATCATCATTTCTTGACTGCTCACTGAGTCTTGTCAGTATACTAGACTGCAAACTAAAGAATAAGATTGGGGGCAGGTTATAAAAAGAACCTGTATAAAGCTTAGCAAACCCTTTTTAATGTTCTGAAGTCAGTCTTTATAAGTGAAATCGCCGGAAACTAGAAAGTATGAAATGGCAGTCTACCTGGGCAACCTACAAAATTAGCTTGAAAAGACTTCAGTCTCCGCTCCCCTGTTGATCTCATAGAATGGGGAATGGGAATTGAACCAAAACTGGAAAATTATTTGGGAAAGTTTATTAACTACTGTTTGTTGATCTCATGGAGTGGGGAATGGGAATTGAACCAGAACTGGAAAATTATTTGGGAAAGTTTATTAACTACTCTTTCTGCTGAGTAAATTAAAATGTGTTCTGGACATTGTTGAGGTCTAGAATTGTCTATACAGTGCCCTGTACAAGCTACATTGCTGTCATTTTGAAAATCAGGAGTTTATTTGGATTACAAATACTTTGTGCTTAATTTTAAGTAATGATTACTTCAAGACTGGTGAATTATACGTGACTTTCTGTGCCTGTTCTTTCTAGGCTATGGAAAGGGCAAATGGAATGGAGCTGGATGGTAGAAGAATTCGGGTGGATTATTCTATCACCAAGAGAGCACACACACCAACACCAGGCATCTACATGGGCAGACCAACTCAGTAAGAGTTCAAGTTTCCTAAGCTAAACTATGAAATCCACCAGAAATATGTGCAAAATTTTGATTACTCAGAAAAACTTTTTTCCTATAATTAGAATTGATTTTGGCAAGGGTGTGGGTTTGAGACATGGTCTCACTCTGTGACCCAGGCTGGGCTGCTGTGGCGCCATCTCAGCTCACTGCAACCTCTGCTTCCTGGGTCAAGCAGTCCTCCCACCTCAGCCTCCCGAGTAGCTGGGACTACAGGCACGTGCCACCACGTCTAGCTAATTTTTGTATTTTTTGTAGAGATGGGGTTTTGCCATGTGGGGTTTTGCCTTGTTGCCCAGGCTGGTCTTGAAATCTTGGGCTGAAGTGATCTGCCCGCCTTGGCCTCCCAAAGTGTAGGATTGCAGGTATGAGCCACCATGCCAGGAGAGAGTTGAAAGTTAAATACATTGTTTTTTGTGTATTTCAGAGGTAAGATTTCACTATGTTGTACAGGCTGGTCTTGAACTCCTGGGCTCAAGCAATCCACCTGCCTCAGCCAGTCTTTTTATTTTTACATACATATGTTTGAGCAACAGGATAAATTAAAACTATCAAAAGTGCATCCTGGCTTTTTTTTCCCCCCAGCCTGGCTGAGCTCTTTGTACTGTACAAGCAGAAAAATTACTGAATACTAGAAAAATATTATAGGCTGTTTAAATATTGATTCTCTTTTTGTTCTTATGTGATTTGGGGAAGTCTCTGTGTTTAAGACAGATTTTATTGATTTTAGCATTTGTTAAAAATATTAAAAGATGCCACAGTAGGCCGGGCACAGTGGCTCAACACCTGTAATCCCAGCACTGGGAGGCCAAGGTGGGTGGATCACTTGAGCCCAGGAGTTTATGACCAGCCTGTACAACATGGTGAAATCCCATCTCTCCTTAAAACATACAAAAATTAGCTAGGCATGGTGGCATGTACCTGTAGTCCTAGCTACTCAGGAGGCTGAGGTGGGAGGATTGCTTCAACCTGGGAAGCAGAGTTTGCAGTGAACTGAGGTTGCGCCTCATAAGCTAAAGAATAAAATTGGAGGTAGGTTATAAAAAGAACCTGTAGCACCTTGTGAGCAACCTTGGCTCACTGCAACTTCTTCCTGGGCCAAAGCAATCCTCCCACCTCAGCCTGTGAAGTAGCTGGGACTACATGTGCATGCCGCCATGCTAATTTTTTTGTTTTAAAGAGAGAAGGACTCTCTTAGAGCAAGAGGTCTCATCACATTGCCTGGGTGGGTCTTGAACACCTGGGCTCAAGGGATTCACCCACCTTGACTTCCCAGAGTGCTGAGATTATAGGCATGAGCCACTGTACGCCATCCTGATGTGTAGTGGCTCACACTTGTAATCCCAGCACTTTGGGAGGCCGAGGCAGGCAGATCACTTGAGGCCGGGAGTTCAAATCCATCTTGGGCAACGTGGCAAAACCCTGCTTCTACTAAAAGAATAATACAAAAATTAGCCGGGTGTGGTGGCACACACCTGTAATCCCAGCTACTCGGGAGCTGAGGCACAAGAATCACTTGAACCTGGGAGGCGGACGTTGCAGTGAGCCTGGGCGACAGAGTGAGACTCTTTCTAAAAACAAAAACAAAAAACGTAAGTAGGGGTTTTGATAATGTTTTTAAATATACAACCCTCCTGGCTGGCTTGTGATGTTCATTGGCCAGGCGCAGTGGCTCACACCTGTAATCCCAACACTTTGGGAGGCCGAGGCGGGTGGATCATGAGGTCAGGAGGTTGGGACCACGGTGGAACCCTGTCTCTACTAAAAATACAAAAATTAGCCGGGCGTGGTGGCGGGTGCCTGTAGTCCCAGCTACTTGGGAGGCTGAGGCAGGAGAATGGTGTGAACCCGGGAGGCAGGGCTTGCAGTGAGCTGAGATCACACCAGTACACTCCAGCCTAGGTGACAGAGCAAGATTCTGTCTGAAAAAATAAAAATAAAATATACAACCAAAGGCAGTATTCATGGAGGTATTTCTTGGGAATAAAAGAAGGAATATAGTCATTCGTTGGTATTCTCTTTGGTGTCCAGAGTTAGTTACTTTAAAATTCTTGGTGTTTATTGCCTTTTAGTCACAGGGATACACCTTTTATTCATTTATTTATTTATTTTACCAGTCTCATTTAGCAGTAGGGATGCATATTAGCATTTTTATACTGCTGCTCAACACAGTGTTTCATCGTTTCAATTTGTTGAAAAGGTTTTGATGATTTGGGCAGTGCATTAATAGAAGAGCAGTTAATAGTTTTGAGAGTTTTGTGAAGTCCTTGGTTATGTATGTAGTGAATAAGGCAAAGCAGAATACCATGGGAGTCAGTAAAATGAGATACGGAGGCAATTTCTGATGAAAGGGATGTTCTTTCTCACTTTTCTCTTTTTTAAGGCATTCAATTTCTATTAAAGTGTCCTGGAAAATAGTCATTCACACTAATGCAGAATTTTTACATTTTTCTGCAGTAGTGGTGGTGGTGGTGGAGGAGGAGGCGGTGGTGGAGGTGGAGGTGGTGGCAGACGTCGAGATTCTTACTATGATAGAGGATATGATCGTGGGTATGACAGATATGAAGACTATGATTACCGGTACAGGTAATGTTTTAACTTGAGCTTTCTGTTCTAAATTAGATGATAGTAGTGGTTGGCACTTTTATGTTTGATACATATGAATAAAAACTTGATTTTTAAAATAGATCATATATGACGCTTTAGGAACAGAAGTTAGCAATCTGTATATGCCAGTATTCTGTTGTGCTCTATACTTTTCTGGTCTCATTGGCACAAAGAGAACTTAATATTAAGTAGTTATCACCTTAGGTACATTATTATTTTGAATGATGAGGAATTTTTATTTTCATCGGCCTCAGTGGAGTGATTATGTAGTATGCTAAGTAATCTTTCATTTTTTACAGAAGACGATCACCTTCTCCTTATTATAGTCGATACAGATCACGATCAAGATCTCGTTCCTACAGCCCAAGTATGTGAACTTTGCTTTTGTAGCATTAAAAACCTCATTTCTAATTAATGGCTTACTTTAGAATATTAGAGTATAAGGTGGAAGGTGGCAGTTAATAGTTGGAAAAATATTAGGCAAATTAAACTATAATTGTTAACCTTTTCTTTTTTTTTTTTTTTTTTTTCTTTTTCTCTTTTAGGACGCTATTGATAACGGAATGGTTGTAATTAAGGACATTTTTTTCCTCTGTTTTCTTTTTTTCTTTTTTTCCTGAGACTTCCCCAAGCTTTGGATTCTTCCTACTCCTTAAGAAAAAAAATCTTTGATTTAGCATCTACACTTTTGTCAATTGTGTTGCTGTTTTCCACCCCTTTTAATTATACTCTTAAAGATGTAATTGTTATCATTTTGAGCAGTTAAACATCTTGAGTATAAAAAGAACCCTAATGTTATGCTTTGTAATTTTTTTTTTTTTTTTTTTTTTGCTTTTACCTAAACTTCTAACTAATCAAATAAGGAAAGAAACTGTCTTTTTAAAGCTTATTTTGTGTTAGATACTGTATTAGAGATCTGCATTTATCATGAACTCCTTTTTTTAACTTTATTTTCAGGAAAGTAACACATGAAGTAGTTCAGTCGTGTCAGGATTGTCTGGGGTGGAATGGAACAGTCAAGTAGTTGAAAGTTTTTTTTTTAGAGATGGAAAGTTTGTGAACTCCTGTAAAACATGCTGTATTTGAAATACATCTGTTAAAACTTAAAAACTAAAGTGTGATTTTTTTGTTGTTATTGTTAAATTTATTGACGTTTAGTCCCTTAATCAGTGAAGGACAACCCTTATTTATTACCTACAGCAGTTGTATAATTTGCTGTTAGAAATTCTGATATTGGGACAGTGGATAAGCAGGTTATCATATAGCATAGAATTCTTGAAAGATACATGTGGGGAAAAGTAGTCTCAAATAAAAGCTAATTTCTTTGAAAATTGGATTGTCTCTTTATTGTGGTATAATGGAGAAATATGATTGATTGAGGAACTGGTCCTTTTCCCTCACATCCCCCCAGTGCATATTTATATGAAAGTTTACCCATCCTGAGTTTTAATTTCCCAATGTTTCTCATTTTTAAAAATATTTTTTCTTACACCAGAATGTTATTTCTTGTCTTTTCTTTGGTTCTTTTAAAACCCTTGTTTTTCTTCTCTTTTGGAGGAGACCAAGTTGTAAATATTGAGAATATTCAGTACTAGCACCATGCTGAAGGAAAGATAGGTAGCTAATACTTCTTTTTTTTATTTTTATTTTTCTGAGACAAGAGTCTCGCTCTGTTGTCCAGGCTGGAGTGCAGTGGCATGATCTTGACTCACTGCAACCTCCGCCTTCCGGGTTCACGCCATTCTCCTGCCTCAGCCTCCCAAGTAGCTGGGGCTACAGGCGCCCGCCACCAAGCCTGGCTAATTTTTTCTATTTTTAGTAGAGATGAGGTTTCACCGTGTTAGCTAGGATGGTCTCCATCTCCTGACCTCGTGATCTGCCTGCCTCAGCCTCCCAAAGTGCTGGGATTACAGGTGTGAGCCACCGCGCCTGGCCGGTAGGTAGCTAATATCTTAAAAAGTCTGAATATATTCCAATAGAAAACACACATTTTTAAATGACCATAAAGTAAAAGAAGAGGAGGGTGTTTCAAGTGACCTTTATAAAAAAGGTGTTAGGGGACCGGGCGCAGTGCTAACACCTGTAATCCCAGCATTTGGGAGGCCGAGGTGGGCAGATCACGAAGTCAGGAGATTGAGACCATCCTGGCTAACACGGTGAAACCCCGTCTCTACTAAAAATACAAAAAAATTAGCCGGGCGTGGTGGCGGGCACCTGTAATCCCAGCTACTCAGGAGGCTGAAGCAGGAGGATCACTTGAACCCAGGAGGTGGGGGTTGCAGTGAGCCAAGATCATGCCACTGCACTCCAGCCTTAGAGACAGAGTGAGACTTCCGTCTCATAAAAAAAAGGCTGGGAGCAGTGGCTCATGCCTGTAATCCCAGCACTTTGGGAGGCCGAGGCGGGCGGATCACCTGAGCTCAGGAGTTCAAGACCAAACTGGCCAACGTGGTGAAACCCCGTCTCTACTAAAACTACAAAAATTAGCCGGGTGTGTTGGCACGCACCTATAATCACAACTACTCAGGAGGCAGAGGCAGGAGAATCGTGTGAACCCAGGAGGTGGAGGTTGCAGTGAGCGAAGATTGCACCAATGCACTCTAGCCTGGGCAACAGAGTAAGACTCCATCTCTAAAAGAAAAAAAAAAAAAGACTAGGGCCAGGCGTGGTGGCTCATGCCTGTAATTCCAGCAGTTTGGGAGGTTGAGCAGGTGGATCACTTGAGGTCAAGAGTTCAAGACCAGCCTGGCTAAAGTGGTCTCAAAAAGTGTTAGGGGATTGAAGCCTCAGACATCTTTTGTTCTGTTTGAAACAGGGTCTCTGTCACCCAGGCTGGGTGCAGAGACCACCTAACCCTTGCCTCCCAGGCTAAAGCAATCCTCCCACCTCGGCCTCCCACAGTGCTGGGATTACAGGCATGAGCCACCATGCCCAGCTAGACATCTCTATTTAAAAGCTTACTTTTTGAAAGACTTGTCTTTTTTAAATAATAAATTTATTATTAAAAATTATTTTAAATAAATTTTGCGACTAGGGAGCTGAGCAGAGTGCACCTATAGTCACAGCTTTTTGGAACGCTGAGGTAGGACGATTGCTTGAGGTCAGGAATTCAAGGCTGCATTGTGCTATTATGTTATGATTGTGCCTGTGAATAACCACTGCACTCCAGCTGGACAACGTAGTGAGAACCCTGCCTCTAATAATAATAAAGGTTTGGTTTGGCTTTAATAATAAAAAGAACCTATAGTTCTGAATAGAACATTGTTGACTTTAAAAGACAAGCAGTGTATCAACACTGAAAACATTAGCCGCAATCCGGAAGACAGGTTTTTTTTGTTTTTGAGACATGGTCTCGCACTTGTTGCCCAGGCTGGGGTGCAATGGCGTGATCTCGGCTCACCACAACCTCCACCTCCCGGGTTCAAGCGATTCTCCTGCCTCAGCCTCCCAAGTAGCTGGGATTACAGGCATGTGCCACCACTCCAGCTAATTTTGTATTTTTAGTAGAGACGGGGTTTCTCCATGTTGGTTAGGCTGGTCTTGAACTCCCAACCTCAGGTGATCCGCCCCCCTCGGCCTCCGAAAGTGCTAGGATTACAGGCGTGAGCCACCGTGCCTGGCCTGGAAGACAGTATTTATTAAGAGAGTAGGCTGGGTGCGCTGGCTTATGCCTGTAATCCCAGCACTTTGGGAGGCTGAGGCGGGTGGATCACGAGGTCAGGAGGTCAAGACCATCCTGGCTAACATGATGAAACCCTGTCTCTACTAAAAATACAAAAAATTAGCCAGGCGTGGTGGTGGGCCCCTGTAGTCCCAGCTACTTGGGAGGCTGAGGCAGGACAATGGTGTGAGTCGGGGAGGCGGAGCTTGCAGTGAACCAAGATCACGCCACTGCACTCCAGCCTGGGGGACAGAGCGAGACTCCGCCTCAAAAAACAAAAAAAAAAATTTACTTTTTGGGCTGGGCGTGGTGGCTTATGTCTGTAATCCTAGCACTTTGTGGGGCAGAGGCAGGTGGATCCACCTGAGGTCAGGAGTTTGAGACTCACCTGACCAACATGGTGAAACCCAGCCTCTACTAAAAATACAAAAATTAGCCAGGGATGGTGGCATGTGCCTGTACTCCCCGCTACTCAGGAGGCTGAGGCGGAGAATCACTTGAACCTGGGAGGCAGAGGTAGCAGTGAACAGAGAGCACCACTGTACTCCAGCCTGGGCAACAGAGAAAGACTCTCAAAAAAAAAAAAAAAAAAAAGATGGTATTATACAAAGAAAACTAAGGTTATATACTCAATTATTTACAACACAAAATTAGTTTAAAATGACTATCCTATTCACCCCTTAGAGGTGGATGAATGGATACATGGGTAGTTGAGGTACTAGTTTTAGACCGTTATAAAGTATGTCTCCAATCACTAGGAAAAATTCAAAGTGTGTATATAGAGGAATGGGGAGTTGTTTTTTTGTGGTGGTGGTGGTTTTTTGTTTGTTTTATTTTGTTTTTGAGACAGTCTTGCTCTGTTGTCCAGGCTGGAATATAGTGGCACGATCTCAGCTCACTGCAGCTTCCGCCTCCTAGGTTCAAGCGATTCTCCTGCCTCAGCCTCTGAGTAGCTGGGACTACAGGCGTGTGCCACCACGCCCGGCTAATTTTTTTTTTTTTTTTTTTTTTTAAAGTAGAGATGAAGTTTCACCATGTTGGCCAGGATGGTCTTGATCTCCTGACTTTGTGATCTGCCGGCCTCAGCCTCCCAAAGTGCTGGGATTAAGGCATGAGCCACCATGCCCCGCTGGGGAGTTAGTATTTAATGGGTATAGTTGCAAGTGCATGGATACATGAGTAATTGAGGTACTAGTTTCAGACTGTTACAGAGTATGGCTCCAAACACTAGGAAAAATTCAAAGTATATACAGAGAGAGGAAATGGGAAGTTAGTGTTTAATCTGTATAGTTTCAAGTATGCATAGCAAAAAAAAAAAAAAATCCACATATATGTAGTTTGTTGCTACATAACTGTTCCTGGTATACTCTGCAATTTGAAAGTTGTAAAATGATTAACCAATGAGGTAACTTCCTTGCTTTGTGACTGCTGCACAGAATGATGCCTGGCATGGAGTAGGTATCCAATAAATATTTGCATAAATGAATGAGGATAGAAGAGTAATTGAAAGAGCTGAAGTATAAGGGCAGTGTGACAGAAGGGATCTCGGCTGAAAATAATCATGACAACCCTAACAATGGTTAAAAATCACTTTTAGTAATCTTTGTAATAAGGGAAGAAAAATGGCAGTTTAATTATCATTAAAGTGTTGGTGCTTAAGTCACCTTGAAAATTCATTTATGGCCGGGTACAGTGGCTCACGCCTGTAATCCCAACTCTTTGAGAGGCCAAGGCAGGCAGATCACAAGGTCAGGAAATCGAGACCATTCTGGCTAACACGATAAAACCCTGTCTCTACTAAAAATTAAAAAATTAGCCGGGTGTGGTGGCATGCACCTGTGGTCCCAACTACTCCGGAGGCTGAGGCAGGAGAATCGCTTGAACCCGGGAGGCGGAAGTTGCAGTGAGCTGAGATCGTGTCACTGCACTCCAGCCTAGGCGACAGAGCGAGACTCCATCTCCAAATAAAAAAAGAAAATTCATTGATACAGAATACTGGGATCCCTGATTATATATGTCAGATAAGTTAAGCATTCTATTTGATATTCACAAGAATATCAAGTGCAAACAGGTCACAATGGGCCGGGCACGGTGGCTCGCGCCTGTAATCCCAGCAACTTTGGGAGGCTGAGGCGGGCAGATCACCTGGTCAGGAGTTGACCAGCCTGACCAATATGGAGAAACCCCGTCTCTACTAAAAATATATAATTAGCTGGGCTTGGTGACGCATGCCTGTAATCCCAGCTACTCGGGAGGCTGAGGCAAGAGAATCGCTTGAACCCGGGAGGTGGAGGTTGCAGTGAACTGAGATCATGCCATTGCACTCCAGCCTGGGTAACAAGAGTGAAACTCTGTCTCAAAAAAAAAAAAGTCACAATGGAAAATGTTCTTTTTTTGAAACTTAAAAGGGATATGGATTTATATTCTTTTTTTGAGATGGAGCCTCACTCTGTCACCCGGCCCAGGCTAGAGTGCAGTGGCGCGATCTCAGCTCATTGCAACCTCTGCCTTCCGGGTTCAAGCGATTCTCCTGCCTCAGCCTCCAGAGTAGCTGGGACTACAGGCGCGCGCTACCACGCCCAGCTACTTTTTGTATTTTTAGTGGAGTCGGGGTTTCACCATGTTGGCCAGGATGGTCTTGATCGATTGACCTCGTGATCCGCCCACCTC